GATGGCTGATCCAGATAATTGCATCAGGAGTAGTGGAGTGTATCGCTGTAATGCCTCCTTCGTATTTGTGAATCAGGCATTGAGTTGTTATATGTTCCATGGTCTGTTCTGGGTGACCACATTCGCACATCGGAGAGATTTTAATTTTTCATTTGTGCAGCAAGTATCCTGCCATGATTTGTGCAGATGCCATCAGGGTTACTTGAACTGTGCATATATATGATAACTCCTGAAGGCTCTGAAGGAACCATTACAGCCTTCTGGGAAATAATGAGTTCTCACAACGATAGGAATAGTTACCTGGTAGACTGATACCATTACGGTGTCAGGTTAATAAGCACAAAACAATTTCCTAAGTAAATATTTACACAACGGTCAGTATCAATTTGAGGCTATATATTTTGCATGCACAGCAGGTTCATCAGTCAGCTGCATACCTGCTGTGGGGGGAATTTAACCAAAACCTGCAACTTCTCTTTGAAGCCATTACATGCTGTGCTACAGCAGCACTAGCTAAGGACTTGATCATGCCTACTAGGCACAGACCTGTGCTGGGGGCAGTGAGGAACTGCATTACCTCATGGGGAGCTCTGGCAGCAGGGCCATTTTTGCCGCCCCAAGCAAAAAAAAAAGCCACCCAAACTGCCGTGCTTCCTCCGCTGGTGCCTGGAGCCAGTCCTGTCTGGCAGGGATTCTGCCTCAGTGAGGGAATGCCTTCCAGAGGTCCCTTGCACATGAAGAGCATGCCTGCTGCTATACTGCCCTTATGGAGGGCAGCATACTCCTCTCCCTTGCACACCAGTCCTGCTGTGGAGGCTGGTTTGGAGAGTGGGCCAGGGCCTTCGTCCCAACCTCTCTAGGATCTCTCTGTCCACCTGTGTAGCCCTGAATCTGCAACAAGCACGTGGAGTTGTGTCGGCCATGCAAAGAGAAAAGGCTCTTTGTGCATGACTCCCCTTTAACCTGCATAAAGTTCACAATCTGGAACTGATAAACATGTGAGCAGGCTGATGCTGTGAAACTGTCCCAAGATGGAATTGTCTCAGGCAGTCCAAGATGCAGTACAGTTAGTGATGCAAAACTGTACAGTTTCAACCACAGTAATTCAGTTCCCTGCACTGCGATTGGTTGTGATGGGCTGATTTGTACAATCATAGTGGATTGCCATTGAGAAATAACCATACTATGTGAATCCCTGTACTCTGAGTGACAGATGGCCATTCTACAAAGACAGGGTTAGGCTGAGACTCCTGGCCTACTCGCATTGATGAGTGAGCAGTTACTCATGCAAATGACTTCAAGGGGACTATTTGGAAGAGCACCTCATCATCAGTGTGAGAAAGGGGGTCAAAATGTGGCTCTATATGGTTATTTCTCAATAAGGAAGAAAGGACCAAAAGGGTGATTTAACATTTCCCCGACTTCTCAAGTGTGACAACACTGTTTCATTAGGCCAGGAAATGTATTACAGTTTCTAAGGATTTTCTCTTAAGATACAAACTCCAATAATTCAGAGGTAGGAGCAAAAAGCTTTGCTTAGCCCTACCCTGTTAGGACTAGTTATTGCAACATTCCATACGGAATGGAAAATAACACACTGAGAATCCCATGAAATGGATAGGTCTGATAGGCTGGGTCGAAGACAGTGTTTGAATTTCTTGGCTACTGTAGCTTAAGCCAGACCTTTATTGTTATTCCAACACATTCTTTAATAGTTGAGAAGTGTATCATGAAGACTTATGCATAGTAAGATCAATTGGAACCTGCCCTCTTTTAACTCAAGACCACTATTACATATTAATGTTCCCCCATTGTGTGTTTGTCTCCATTTACACTGATCTTTTTCTGTGAATAGCAAACTCGTAATTACACTGAGCCTAATTTCACAGGCCGAATTTAAATGATCAAGCAAAAATCCTCATAGCTACCAATATTCTTGTGTCTTCACTCATTTTATGGAAATCAGAATATTACATGGGTCAAAGAGAATACATTCTGTGCGTACTGCCCTGAGGCACGATTTTCACTGATTCACAGCATCCTTGTTTCATAACACAGGGAAATAAGAGGCTTCATAGCGTGAAATGAAAACTTCATCCTGAAATATTTAAACCTTGTTTGTGATTTAAAGAAATGTCTTGCAAAGTTAGCATAAGACACTCAGAAAAGGCACCAAAGAGTTGTTTCAAATAGGTTTTTAAACACAGTTCTTCTGCTCTTCACTTCAAGGCCTTCACCCATTCCCCACTCTAATGGTTTCAAAAGAACCTGGATCTGGTGACATTCAGAGCACTACAAAGTCCATCTATTTCAACAGGCATTTGGACTCTAATTCTGCTCCTGCTGAAGTTAATGTCAAAACTCCCATTAATATAATGGTGCAGAATCAGGCCATTGGTGAGGGTGATACTTGCGGGGTAGAGAGAGAGCTAGGGAGGTTTTGTTTTGTTTTTTTGATTCAGTGCTGGCTTTATAGTTGTGTGAGATCTGCCACTGTTTTGCCACTGGGAGAGGGGTGGGGGGAGGAAGAAGTTTTATGCATTCTTAAATATTTACCAGGGTTCCTAGAGGCCGGGATAGGTGTCTATTTAATATGTTAAATTGAAATAAATAAATAAAATAAAATGCATTTTAGATTTCCATTTGTTACATTTCAAAGTACTTCAAGCAGAGTCAGCAAATCTTTACAGAACACTATAATGTAAGAGCTTACATTCTGCAATGGTCAGTGGCGGATAGGTAAGATAGAATCCCACCAGCTCAGCTGAAAGCTGATTAAGAAGGTAGCTGGAGATGGTGCCATTTAGGGCTGTACTTTGATTGCTCACCACATAAAACAAAGTGACAGCTTGGGAGACATTTGATGTGTTCAAAATCTGAAACAAAACAAAAGTAAAGAAACAGTGGGAGGCTACATTTCAACTCGTTAGTTCGCACATTTTATATAATCAGTCCGAATAACAAATCAGAGAAATGTTAACTGTGATCATCATTTTCTGTAAAAAGGATGTGCTCTGTTTAGCACATGTAGCTTCATTACTGAACAGAGGCAGGTGGAACAGGAGTAGCAGGGCCGGCTCCAGGTCTTCTGCCGCCCCAAGCGGCAAAAAAAAAAAAAAAAGCCGATCGGCGGCACTCCGGCGGCAGCTCAATCGCACCACTCCATGCTTCGGCGGCAGTACAGTGGCGGGTCCTTCACTCCCTCTCTTCCTCTTCGGCGGCACTTTGGCGGCAGATCAAAGAGGAAGAGAGGGACTGAGGGACCCGCAGCCGAATTTCCGCCAAAGACCCGGACATGCCGCCCCGATACCGAACAGAGTGCCGCCCCTTTGTATTGGCCGCCCCAAGCACTTGCTTCCTTAGCTGGTGCCTGGAGCTGGCCCTGTGGACTGTAGCCCCAAGTGAGGACCAGAAATTCTATTCCTGATTTTCGATGGAAAAATGGCAAAAATACAAGGAGGGTGAGACTGATTATTTGACAGATAAAATATTAAAAGCCTTTACTATGGGGAAGTGGCAGCCCCCTCCCCCCCATGTACTCCTCAAGGGGCATCAGTCCCTTCTCTATCATCCTACTGAGGTGACATAAATCTCCTCCTCTCTCTTCCAGCTTCATGGGAAAAGGTCCTCCCCTTTCTTTCTGATCTTGCTGCTGTGTTGAATGGCTGTCTGCTCTCTTCCTCACCCCCATCTTGGAGCCTGCCTCTACCCATACTGTGTCTGGTATCTATGAGGAATACAGGAAGGAAAGAGGGGTGCTGAAAAAAGCTCTGTTGTACCTCCCTTCTCCTCCTATATTGCCACACATACCAGCCACAGACTAGGAGATTATTGAGGTATAAAAGAAAAAAAGGTTAACTTTACTGCTTTTATGTAGGTTTTGCTTTATGCTTATTCATATAAATCATCATTTGATTTAACTGCCTCTTTTTAGAGTTACAGTCAACACACAAAATGTGTCACAGTATAGTCACTCGATAGAATTCTCTGCTCTGATTATCACTGGTGATTCTACAGGATATCAAAAACACACAGGACTGTAATCAATAAACCCAATGTTTAATGTATTTATCACTAACACAGGCTTTATAAGGATATGAGTACACTTCAACATAAGCCTGGGCTTGAGCTCAGCTTAAGCCTAACTCCCCCATGCATGTACATTGCAATTGCTCAGACCTGAAGGCTGGAGGGTCGGAGCTCGAGTTAAGCCAGGACCCAAGGTCCAAACCCTATTGTTTGGCAGCATAGATGCAGCCCTGCTTGACTCAGGTCTCTGGAGTCAGTCGGAAGTATCCCACAGTTCCTTGGGACAATTTCTATCCCAACTTTCTATCCCAACAATCTGCAATCCATTCTATTGAAAACAGAAGAAAGCACACACACCTCGCCCCTTTGCGAATGGCAGTAGCTCAAGTCAGAGTTAACCCATTCTTCTCTGATTACCAATCTGCAAGCATACTATCAGAGAGCCTCCTGGGTTTGCAATGGAAAGTGAACCGATCAAGCCTTTTGTAAAGCTAACTGCTTCCTGGTCACAGGAGGACAGCCAGATTTTGGTGACTCTCTGGTGCAAGGCCAGTAAAACTGTGGACTTAAGCACCAGGAATGACCAAGCATTGCAGCAGACAGCTAAAAAACTGGCAGCTCGGTAGGTTTTCTAGACAGGTGATCATTGTAGGGAGCATATTTAGAGGCCAAAGAACAAATACGAGAAGACCAGGGACAAGAACTGAACTTCAGGCAACCTGCCAATAACATGCCCATTTTATGATTACTTTGACTAGATCCTGGGCACTGTGTCCAGTATACAGCCATCCATGTTTCATGAGGACCTGGTGAGCTGGGATGGTGCCCTGCTGGCCCTTGAAATCAGCATAGGAACTGATGGGAGCCAGCACCAGGCTCCCAGTCAGGAGCATGAAGTGACTCTTTTAACAGAACTAATCCCAGAGCAGTAACTACATGAGTAACTTTAGGCATGTGAGGACTCTCCACTCCCATAAATCTTTGTACGCTCTTTGCAGGATCAAGCCCATGGTGCACAGCACAGATTTACAAACACGGAGCATATAGGACATAAAGAAAGGTGATTCATTCCCTTGGTTCTGATCCTGCAAACACTTGCACATCTTTAACTTTACACACATGAATAGACCCACTGGTTCTTAGTCAGAGTGCCAGAAATGACATGTTCTACACTTCAAAGTTCAGTAACAATATAGAGAAAAGTATCTTACACTTTATTGTCAGAAGGAGTTTTGTTGGAGCTGACTTGTAATAAATACAAATAGTATTAGAATGATGACTCTACGTAAACCTGAAACTCAGTAAATTTTCAATTCAGAAAAGTGACATGAATAATGGTTTTTCAAATAATAAAACAGCTTTTTATGCAACTGTGCTTCATCATCTTTTTTCACAAATGTTGCATCCATAAGATCTTAGTAAAATGTAAAACAGCATACCTAATTTAATATCAAAATATAAAAACATTTCCAAAGTGACTATCAAGTTTATTATGTTGACATTAACATAATGTCTACAAGCACTCTTAACAGCAGGGAATAATCATATGTGACTTAAAGATTGGCTAAAGAGGTTAAATTTTACCTGAACTGTTAAGTTGTTGCTAGTATTTAAGACCTTTCTTTCAGCATCCTCGAATGCTTTTCGTAACCGTTGCTCCATGGTCTGAACAAACTTGCATGACTGTATGTTGTCTGCTTGACCAACAAACTGCAGCTCTACAACAGGAATAGTATGTGTGAGTTTTAGTGAAAATATATTCCTAGTCTGCATAACTCCTATAGTGAGTCACACCAAAATGATAAATTTAAGAAATTAAACAAGAGATAGTAATATCATGTGAGGTTTGCTTATGTTTTTAAGCAGCATTATAAACAGTTTATCATTAAGATAAAATACAAGAATTAAAATCTGTGATTAAAAGCATAAATAAAAGTGATATGTATGATTGCATGTTCTTGTTCAAAGGCTAAGGGACAAACAAAAAGCATTTTAAAACATGAATGATATCTTTAAAATCTTTAAGGACTTTAACCTCATAGGAAAGAAAAAAAATCATCATACAGATTCTCATTCTTTTTTCTCTGGATAATAATATACTCAACAAGATATTTGTAATATATTTTATATGCTTATGAAATCTCTTTGAAATTCAAAATGTGTCTTTACAGGCTGACCTGCTAGTGCAACACTTCACCTACTATATGGGGAATCAGTCTGGAGACACAAGGTAAGTATGGACCAATTCCCCCACATTCTCCTATTACTCTGCACTGAATATTGCAGTAGTGTTACAGAGAGGTTAAAATGATAACCCAGGTTTAGGATGTTTGGAATCCAAGACCCCAGTTGGTCCAGCAAGACCCTATATGCATATATGGGGCTCCCGGCATCATAGGAAATACATAATATGCTTCAGAATACATTTCACACATTTAGTTCAAGGTCTGAGGATTTCAAATATTTAAATGTATTGGGTCCAATTCATCCCAGGTGTAACTCCACTGTTTTCAGCGGAGTTGCACCCGGGATAAAGATGTCCCACCATTCTCACATTTAAAGAGATAGGGCACGGACAATGGGTACTCCTGGAGGAATTCTGTGCCACTGCGCATTGCAGAATTTTGCAGAAATTAACGTTGTGCATGCAGAATTTCATTTCCCCCCATAGAAATGGGCTGCAGTGCTGCTAGCCGCCACTAGGGGCCACTGGTTCCGGCAGAGCCCAACTTGCATATAGAAGACACTGCTGGGGGGAGGGAGCTAGAGGGTTTCTGGCAACTGCAGTTCCCAGCATGCTTTGAGAGAAGGAGGGGGCAGCACGCAGGAAACTCCATGGAAGCCTGGGACCGAGCATCAGGCTGTTTCTCCCTCTGTATCCCTGTGCTCTGGGAGGGAGGGGGATGGGTGTCTGGGCAAGGGGCCCTGCAGCTGAGCTCTGGGGAGGAGAGGGTTCGGGTGCATTGGCTACGGGGGGGGGAGGAGGTTGCCCCAGGTGGTCTCTGAGGGAGAGGGGTTGTGGGTGTCTGGCCCCCTGGTTGGGCTGGGGGGCGGGAAGAGGGCAGAGAAACAGGAACTGGATTGTCATAGAGGTTTCTTTAACTCTCTACTCCTGGGGGGAAATTTGTGTGTGTCCATATTGTTACAGACATACTTGCTGACAGGTATTTTGAAATAAATTAACAAAATAATTGAAACTGGTGTGATTATGTAGTGTTATTTTGACAAATAAAATTTGGAGAATTTTAAAATACACCTCTACCCCGATATAATGCGACCCGATATAACACGAATTTGGATATAACGCGATAAAGCAGCGCTCCGGGGGGGGCGGGGCTGCGTGCTCCGGCGGATCAAAGCAAGTTCGATATAACGCGGTTTCACCTATAATGCAGTAAGATTTTTTGGCTCCCGAGGACAGCGTTATAGCGGGGTAGAGGTGTATTGTGCACAGAATGCCCCCAGGAGTAAATGGGACTGCACACGTGGAACTGGGTACCAAATTTAGATCACTGTTTTCTCTGAGAGGAACTGATGTCTGAACTGACAGCAAGTTGTGTAGTAGGAAGAGAGCCTGAGACATAAGCCCTTGTATCAGAGGCCTGGTATGAGGCAGGACCTGCTCACAGAATCTGGCAAGAACAGGGCTGATATTGCAGAAATACACATTCCTAAGAAGTGCTAAGTACATAGTACTCACGCAAACACATCCCAATATCAAGGATGGTACAAAAACATTCCCCAAGGATAACAGAAACACACTGACCCCTCCTAAAAGATAAGGTCAGGATGACAGTACATAACTTTTGTATTGGTATATAAAGATGTATCTCAGAGGGAGTGTCTTTGGTCAGCCTAGGGGACAGTGGAAAGTCCCGCCACTGACTGAGCTGTGTCCACTGTTATGGGCATACATGTCTTAGTCTCCTCAGAGAGTTCCAGGTGCTATTACCATGCTTCGTCGACAATAAATCTGGCTGGGCGCCTTCATACCTTAAAAGAGCTTGTGGTCATTGGGCAGTTCGCTCGAGGTCTGCTGTGCCAACTGTCTGTGCAGAGCTGGGACAGTACACAGGGAGAACACACACATGCAACCAACTATCTAATCACAAGTTGTGCAACTGTTACACCAGATATGTGATTTTATTACTTGCCTGTTTTCAGTTGGAAATGGTATGCAGGTAATGGATTCCATGGTAAGGCCAGTACAGCAACAGACTGAAGATTTGGCACATGCTGCTTTATGTCCGCTGTGGTGTTGCTAATACCATAAGCAATGAGCATTTCAATAACAACAGCAGGTATAAAAACCAACCTCCCCTTCGTAACGTAGTAACCAACTGTCACGTTGTTTGATTGTTCCAGAATTTCAACCTAAAACACACAGGGAAAATGTCTTTTTTTAATTTCCATTTTAATTACTATGCTATTGGATTTTTTCATTCTGAATGGGATTTCCTAGAGGTTTTGCGTGTAATCTCCTTTAGGGCAGGAGGTGCAATATACAGTAATTTTAATTTTGAATCTAAAATCTAAAGTTCCCATCCTGAAAACCCTGATACACGAGTAACTTCACACACAAGAAGTTTCACTAAGTTCTCATGTGTGTGTCAATGTTTTCAGGCTCAGGACCAAAAGAGTGTAAGGATAAAATTCTTTACTGCCTGACCCCCTAACTTCACTTGGGGCTCTGTTCTATGTACTCAGCGCTCTCTCGACAGGCAAACCTATCATTGCCATCAGCAGAAGTTCTGGGCACAGACCATCTGCAAAATGAGCACAACAGTGAGCCACAGCGAAGAACAGGAATAGAGAAAAAAAATTGCCCCAAGAACGTACAATTTCTTGGGTTGTTAGGCTCAAAACTTGTGCCTAGCACTACATCAAGTTGGGCTCCTCCATTAAAGGGGAGAGGAACAAAACCCAGAAGGAAAGGAGTGACAGTACAGCTACTCTGCAGCCTGTATAGCCATCATTGGGAACAAGCTCTCTAAGCTCACTACTGCCATCTTCCCCTGCCTACTTAGCATGCGAAAGGGAAAGGAGAAATTTGTAGAGTTATAGCTCAACAACCAAACCGGACTTTCCACAATTTACTCAAATAGGATGATTTTTGTCCTTCCTCCATCATTTTTATCAATGTTCCCTTTTTGTGTCTTTACTTACAGCCAATATGCTGTAAGCAGAGCTGTGCAAAGAACCCCCTGTTTATAGTAATGGGAGCTCCATCCCTCACTTTATACAGAATGTGGCTCTAACAGTCTATTTAATTCTGGGCTTACATTCCAGATAACCCAGAATTTCATGTCATTTAGATGGAAAGTAATGAACATGCCACTCTCATTTATTTTGGTAGAAATTGTTTTCTCCCAACTGCAAGGTTTTTTTGTCACTGTAGAAGCGAATGTATCAGGTACTAGGCTTCCAAAGTGGAGGATGGATTGACAGCAGTGACAACCCATTTACTGGCCATGCTGTTGCAGCTGAGCCGTATTAAGCTGTGGAAGTACTTGGCTCTCTACATGGCTGTACTCATTCCTGGCCTTCAAGAGGAAGAAGCTGCTGCTGTCAGTAGCCATCTCCCACAATGTGCAAAAGAGACAACTGCCTCTCTTCCCCCTTTTTACCTTTTAAAATAAAATGACAGCCACCATAAAAGTAACCCTAAAACTGTTAGAGCCCACATAGTGTTTGGGCCACCCCTTCCTTTCTTCCCTGGGAAAGTTACCAAAAGCCAAGCACTTTTCCCCAAAACTGATTCCCACGTCTGCAATGCACCCAATTTCTGCAAATAAAATTCCCCACCTTGACTTGCCCACAAAGCAGCCCAATAAAGTTGCAGTCAATTTTTAAAAAATAAAAAAATCAGGGGCTTTTGTAGAAAAGACCATTTTATTTCTGGTTTAAAGAAGATTAATAGAAATGCTGTATCTTCAGAACAACAAAAACCTGACTGCAAATGACAAAGAAATACTATATACGCTCGTATTTACAGTTAGCCTGCTAAACTCAGCTAGAGAGAGTTATACAACAAACCATTACATCAGAACTTATAGAAAAACAAGTTAAATAAAATCTAACCATAAAAAGGAGAAACGCGAGCTAAAGTAAATCTTTGTCCCTTGAAATGCTGAACTGCCATTTGGACTTAATCATATCAGTGAAGTTCTCAGATGCATAGAGAACTGTATTATTTAATGACCAAAGAAAACTCTCCAAAACATATCAGTTTGCCATTAATTGGATGCACAATCAAAACAGTCTGTTGTTATTAAACAGTAATGATGTCATGAAAGTTTTGGGGGAAAAATTGATTTCTTCCTTATCTGTTACTGGCAATAAAATTTGAAAGCCTCAGAATGTGTCATTCTAAATTCTTTTTTTTTAAGCTCCAAACACCAGTTTTCTGATTTTTTGTTTTTGTTTTTGGGTGGGGGCAGGCCTTGATGAGGTGAAAGAGAAGGAAAAAAATTGGGTAAACTATGGGGTTAAATATGCTAACTATTGTAGAGCCAAAAACAAGCCTGCCATGTGCCATGCATCTTGTCTCTCACACATTTGGCAGCCCTGAGATCTCTCACATCCAGCAGGGCTGCAGGACGGGCCTGCTGGCCATCACGGGCCATTGCAGCCCTGCTGAGCAACCAGCCAGGCAGCCTCTGCTTCTCATAACACTGCTCCCTCTGCTAGAGCCAAGTGGATAAGGAACCGTTGGGAAGAGAAGACGATGACTCCCTCAACCTCCCAGTAGTTAATACCATCTTTAGAATATCTAGCACCACTTCATGGACTGAATTGCATTCAGTACACAATTCCATCAAAGGGTACCTGGTTCTGCATATCACAATCGCAAACTACTGAGTTTTGTGGGTCTTGGAGGCCTTATGCCTTTTTGTTTGAATTGGGTCTAAGGGATATGAGATGAGATACAGGAGTTAGAAACTAACTAGGATGCCCTTAATTCATATGATTAAAAACACAAAAAAACAAAACAAAAAATCTTTCACAGACTACTAATATTCAGTACAAAAGTCCTTTTTTGGGGGGTGGGATGGGGGGAAGAAACTTATTTTACCATATAAGCTAACTAAACTTGCTTACTTGAGCGTTGACATTTTGGTTGAAAGCTTGTCTCAATGCTTGGGTGAGTCCTTTTGTCACATTCTCTTTTAAGGAATTGCTGATCAGCAGCCTTCTTGTGTTCAGGAACAGAACTGTTAAACAACACCAAGTTACACATTCGTTTGAAACATCAATATGCTGTTTGCTTGAGGGTTGGTTTATTTTTTTTCTAATTTTGATCACAGTCATTCGGTCATAACTCAAAGAAGATCCAGTAAGAAGCCATGCTGTGCATCAGGTACACGGAAGTTAAATACTGCAAGAGCTAGCCAAGGCCCAGAGTTCTCCAGTCCTCAGTGTACAAGGCCTATTTTGGGGGATCACGGGCTAACAGTTGCAGTATTTTTTTAAAAACACTGAGTTACCAACACGCTGTTGTTTTCAGGAGAGTACACTATCACCAGACTATCTGAAGACAGACTGATGGAGCATTCTAACACAACTGCTGTGGCATTGCCTCACAGGGCTCATGGTACAGGAAGGTTCAGGGAGGACTGTGTGGAAGAATATGCACTGCACATTTTCATAAAAAGAGGGCAAATTAATATTTCTACTTCTCAAAAGTGGAAACAAACAAATAAAAATGGCATTTCATATCCACTGTTACTTTCATTATAGAAATTGTCCAAACTTTTGTTGATTAGTTGATTGCTCTGGGGCAAAGACTGGATCATTTACTCGTAGCATTTTTGTAGAATACTTTGCAGACAGACTAAGGGCTAGTCTACACTAGAAGTGCTACATCAACGCAGCTATTCCAATGCAGCTGTGCCACTCTAGCGCATCTGGTGAAGATGCTCTATGACGAGAGAGTATATGCATATCTTTAGAGAGGAGATGGCATTAAAGGCTGATAACAGGGGAAGTTCATTAGCATCCCCACTCCCTCCTAGAGAAGGTACATACAATGCCGCAACAGCACATACACAATTGTATTTTAATACAATATGCCCCAAAAGCATTAAACCTACTTCAATAAGGTTTATCTTAATTCAGTAAAGTTTATCTTAATTCCATAAGGTTGTTCAAGATATTACAGGATATTGTCAGTCTGTCACAGCTGCTGCACATGTTGTGTTAGTGCTGCAGATACTTAGGATCCTCAGACATAGGAATAAGGATATAATATATCCAAGAGATGATCATTTCCAGATTTCACTCTCCTGAGCCCCTCCCATGCCTGTATAAATTGGCATACCCTTTTATCTAGACCTCCCCCTTTCTTCTGTAACTCTCAAAGCTAAGTATCTAATGTGGTGATACACTA